AAAATGTAAACGTATTCAAATACCGTAATAATCACCATTACCGTCATAATTGTTAATTATTTTCTATTATTGCTGTATTTTTAAATGAGAACATTATTCAGTCAGCTTCTGGTAGCATCTATCAAGTCATTTTTATTTACTAAAGAATATCTTATGAATGTTCTGCTCACGTGAGGATGCCAATATTTTATAACATTTGTAAAGCTTAAGGAGAAGCGGCGTGGCGGTATGACTGAGACCGGGTCTAAGTTAGATTTTTCATTCACATTTTTAATGAAACACTTTTACCGTGAGAGCCCGATTGGAGTAAGTTCGCAGTAATTCGGATCATGGCTTCGCCGGCTTGATGTTAGTTGACAGAGCGTGTGTTGAGGCTGAACTCTGTAATTTGCACTTCTGTTCTTTTATTAGCATTGGACAACGAACTAATGAGCAATCCCTGGGTACTATGTCAGTTTTATTTATTTTCTCTTAGAACAAAAAATGAGAAAAAGAAAAGGAAATACTGTGATATGTGTCTGAGAAACGAAGTAGAAAAAGCGTATTTCGGATCGTGGCACAACTTTTTGTGAGACTTGCATGCTTGAAAGGTATTAATTTTCAGTGGAAAGGACAATGAACTTTTTGGCCTGAGTAATGTCCTAATAGTTGCATATATACTTTGGTTACTGTTGTTTTTGCCAGTGGTTCCTGGGAGTCACAAAACGGCTCTTGTTATTACTGATCAGAGGATTGTTTCAATGTTCATTTTTTTCACAGAATCTATAGGTCTATCGTTCGGTTCATAAACATTATATCATGACTAGTTCCTGGAACAGATAAACGCACACAAAAGATTATATGAACAAAAACTGGTAGTTCGGATAATCAGTTGTCTTTAATAGGTTGATATGGTACTTTCCTGCGCTCGCTTTATTTTATTTTTAGAATATGATGTTTACGATTGTAGGTGTTCAACAACTGTCGGTGCGCGGGTAGTTTTAGTGTAATGCGTGTGGGTCGTATAAAAGTGATATGAGTTTTACACTGTCGAATTACACGCATCTCAGGATTGAAATGAAAATGATGGCCGCAGCGCCTGATTTGTACCAATCATGTTCAATTATGCTTAAGAATACACATGTGGTAGTCTATCTATCTATCTATCTATCTATCTATCTATCTATCTATCTATCTATCTATCTATCTATCTATCTATCACATTGTCCAACTGTTATGAGTTGCTCTCTTTTGAACATTTGGAATTCTTTTCTTTTTTGTTCGTGGCGACTCCTACAGGGAGAGGACAAAAAGTCTTTAATAACCACCCAGGTTGTGTGTCAGACGGTTTATCGTTTAACCAGTGATATCGCGTTTTAATTTGAGACAGGCCTGCCACTACCCATGAGCATACATGATTGTCTTTCTCACTGCAAAACCTCTTGATGTCCTCACCAAACAGGGGCAGTAGGATACAGCAAATGAGGGGAAGTCCTGACCTCATGTCTTTCGGGCGAGCACCCAGACCCCTTCAGAAAACAGACTAGAAAGTGAACACAGTGTTAAATTCAACTTTTTTTTTTTTTTACTTTGTGTTATACTATTAAAACAATACCACTAAGTGCGCATTCGATATTATTATATGTTTTTTTCGGATTTACTAACAAGTATAGGTTTATTTTATTAGTGACGCCATTTCTCTTGTTGTACCCGCGTCTGTATTTTACATGGAGCTTTTCGTTCATGTGCAATATGTAGTATTACAAATGAAAAATCCATTTTAACCTGTTTATAGCACGACGGCGATGCAATAGGCTACATGTTTCGTTGAGATGTGTCTTTATGTCTTTCGGCTGTCAGTTATCTTCGCTGCTTTAAATAAAGTGGTTTTAAATGGACTTGGAGCTCCAGTTGGTCCGTTCCACTCTCTCTAAATGTTAGAAAATTGTGCCATCTACCCGCTATTCACAGAACTGTCACTTCCAGGACCTCCTAAGACCCCGAACTCACACACACAAAAGAAGCCGCCCAGAGACTTGCAGAGGCAAAACAACACTATGAAATGTTCTCACTTTCAAAAAAAACAGCATTAAATTTACGTTTTAAGCCTCTGTGAGTGGGGCGATTGCAGAAAAGGCTCAGTAAAGAAAAAGGAGAATCTATCTATCTATCTATCTATCTATCTATCTATCTATCTATCTATCTATCTATCTATCTATCTATCTATCTATCTAATCTGTCTGTCTGTTGGTATTCTCGTCGCAACCATTCGTGTTACTGAAAACCCGTCCAGATCTGTTTATGAATAGCCCCGGTATTTTCCATTTTGCAACGTGCTGTGTTTTGTTTGCCGCTATGTAGGCTATTATTTAGCCTTTACACCGACTGAGTTTCTTAATGTAGAAAAGCTCCTAAGATAGTGTAGGCCTATTGTACAGTCTTCATCATATTTTAAAAAATGACTTAGGAAGTGTATGTCTCGCAATATTATAAGCATTTCACGCAATGACCTCACTTGCAGAGACTATAAGAATATATATCTTCCACAATTTCGTTGTAGACGTTTAAAGCTTTAAGGGCAAAATCTTTCAATCAGATTATGTCATCTGTCTTTACATAAAGTATTATAGCATAATTGCGAAAATGCTTTACGCTTGAATTGATATTTGTAAACAACATCATTCCTTTTTATATTTTCCTTCTATTAAAATGCCTTAAATGTAACAGTTTGACCGTTAGACGCAGGTTATTTGTAATTTATTGCCTAATTTTAGATATACGACCAAGAGATAGGCCAAGAATTTTATAAAACCGAACACTGTATAGTACTATATGCATCTTCCTCTTATTTATAATGAAAAATTATGATATTTTGCACAAGCCGTTGTATACTGTACGGTGCAGTGGCACAGTTGCAAGGGACTGCAGAGTGATTATCTCACAGACCTCGAGCAGAAGCACGCGGTGCTTTTCGGCTGTGCGTCGGGCATTGATCTTCTGCAATGTAACAAACGGACGGGTTAATTTTTCCTCATTAGCATTCCCCAAGCACAGCCTCTTTACACAGACACACAGACATCTGTCCCGGCCCCCTTTCCATCCGCGGCAAATCTTTCTGCTGCCTAGTCTCCATCTAAAATATTTAGATTGATTCTTTCTTGTACTTCAGACAGCTTTTAGTTGTAATATATTTCGCGTATAAATTTAAATGACCGTTACTAGCATCTTAGAGCCTTAGCGCTTATAATGCATATGATTTATTTGCAAGGAGGATTACTTTGTTTTGATCAGTTTTTCTCTATATTGAACGGAATAACACATATAAATAAACCTATAATGAAGAAAATGTCTATTTTGTCTTTTACGGCTTGAATTCCCGTGTCTTTCCCTCTAGCAGCCTCGTACTCTGCACAAAAGCAATGAAAGGGGCCGGTCGACACCAAAATGGCAAAGTTCATCTCGAAAAACGGCATAGACTTACAAAGGAGCACAAGGCTTTGTAATTGGGGGGGGGGGGGTAGCAGTTGAAGCAGGAGTGGGAGAGTGTTTGTGTGCATGTATACATCCGAATATATTTTTAAAGAAATTCTTTGAACTGTCTTTGCTGAGAAGACGTTAGATCCAATGCTGGCCACGTGTATACTAGTGTATAGAGAATATGAGATAACATCTAATATTTACATTTAAAGTCCAATTAATCTCAAAAGATGGTTTAGTTTTATGGAGGAAGTCGGGGTTTTCTTCATGTAAGCAGAAAGCACGGCTGACGATTAAAAATGCTTTTAGCTTGAGATACACGGACTCCGGACAACACTGTGGAGAGCGACAGTCTGTTTACAGTAAGTATTTTTATTTCCAACATTACCTTATGAAATAAAGGGATTTGTATGAAATGATTCATATCTTTCAATCAGTCTGCACACAGAGAACTCCAAGTGTGGAATGTGGAATATGAATATGGATGCAATCCATGTAAACATAGTCAAGCCGGTGGGAATCAAGGGGGATGTGACTCACAGCGTAATTTTATACATATAATAGGCCTAATCTTTATATTAAAATGGAACTGTCCTATGTCCATCACTGACCAGTTAATGTTCTTAATGTATCACGTAATGTACTGCATCGTTAAATATAATGCACGTTGACAAAAACGCATGACCACGTGATGAGTTCTCAGTTATATGTCAAAGTAGTATAGTTATAACACTATTGCTGAAAACATTTACATGCGCATTGAATATTAACATGTGCAGTGAATATTAATCTTGGTTCTAAAAAAATGTTATTTTTTTAATCATCGTATAAGTTTAGTAGGCGAAGATGTCGATGTAGAACGAAGCGAGCATCGTGTAAATGCTACTTACTCATTAGCATCGATGTTAATGTTGTTTTTCTTAGGAGTTTTTTTTTATCTATTGTAGTATCTGTAAACATTACTTTTCCGTTTCATATTCTACCTTATATATGTTGCTACTTCAAATTTACATAAAATCTTTCTCTGGAATGTAGACCCTCTCCTACATAAACCTGGGGAGGGTTCACGATCTTAGGCAATTAAGCATGTCATTGCAACAGATTAACAGTGCATTCTATAGGCAATATGTCTTATATTTGATCAAACTAAATAGGCCTATTTTGTGGAAGTATATATTTCATTTTCTGTTTAGATATATAACAATAATCGTCAAACCACGTTCAGAAATACTGCTTGACCCCTCTTGTGTGAAGAAGGGGAATATAAGTAGTTACTTGTAAGATATCTATAGGTAAACCTGCGGACAAGGTGAGAGCGCAGAAAAATCTGTTAATATTACCAACTACCGGTTTTATCTGGAAGCTTCATGCAATACATGCATTTAAGGTGGAGTTACTGTCATGTATTTAACGTACTTTTTTAATTACTTAAAACGTGGTACTGTAGATTTTTTGTGTTTCTTTATACAAAGAATTGCCCCCACACACACACTCTCTCTCTCTCTCTCTCTTTCTCTCTCTCTCTCTCTCTCTCTCTCTCTCACACACACACACACACACGCATAGATGATTTACTCACCTACCTATGAAATATAACTAATTATCGCTGTGGCATCTATTTGTTGCCACGTATGTAAATTAGTGATATCAATCACAAGCACGCTGTCGATATTATTGCATATTACACAATTTGTCGCCTATCACAAACTAAAACCTTCGATTAAGTGAACGAAAATAAAGCTTTATACTTGAAATACTTTATATCTCTTCATGTACTTTAGTAATTGTTATACTTGTATCGACAATGGGGAAAATATTTTTTGGTTGGTCAGTCTTGTTGGTCGAGCCGCACGTCTTCAGCTGCTGCCCATCACACTGTTGTTTTGTCTCCTTCATAATACTCGCGATTAAGGCCCCCTCCTCGCGCGGGCACTAGCCAAAACTGCAAAGATACCCCATGCGAGCAACCACGTGATCTCTGGCAGAAAGTAAGCATTGTCTGAGGAATTGTAAGTAACTATTTTCAAAATGACCCGTAGCTATTTTCAGCTGTTAAATTTATCATTTGATCTATCTATCTATCTATCTATCTATCTATCTATCTATCTATCTATCTATCTATCTATCTATCTATCTATCTGTCTATCCAGAATTCTTTAAGATTTTTCATCAGGTGTTGTACTTTATGTAAAAGAAATGCGGGAACTGTAATCTGAATTTAATGTACACACGTACAAACATGAGATGAAATAAAAATAATTCTCAAAGGCTCATGCATAATACAAAAATGTACACCAGAGTCAACCGACAAGTACACCAGTGCCTAAATATACAATATCGATTACATAAATAATGTAAGGTATTATTTAAAACAAATATCACTATATTTAGTATGAACACACGCGTAAGTATTGTTTCACGAAAAAGTAAAACGTGATATCATCCATTCATTACCAATTGATAGATCTCATACTTAATTATAGGGATAACCAAGACCTTTTCTAAATGTGCTGAATTGTCTATGCGACGTAACGTACATTTTCTGAAAAAGCAAGGATTGATTAATATGGGGAGTTGATCAGCCATTGGTCCTGTAATATTAGAGACGTAGCTAATACTGATCAGCTTTTTTCTGGATTAAAATGCGCATGTCTTAGTACAACTGCCGTGGCCATCACCATAATCATCATGGTTTTGTTCTTTGCGGTTTATTATTATTATTATTATTATTATTATTATTATTATTATTATTATTATTATTATTATTGTATCAAATTCAACATGGCAGATAATTATGGGAAACCTCCAAATCAATAACTCCAGTAATGAGAACACGAAGGGATGGGCATACACACTTCTTAAATTACATATTAATAGTGTGGCTACGTTTCTATATTTTCTTGGATGCCAGTGAAAAATGCTTATTATTATTATTGTTGTTGTTGATGATGATGATTATCAAGATTTTTAGTCACCTACCTGACCAGTTTGATGCCAACATTGTGTGGATGTCAACTCACTAGATGGAAAACTCGAGAACCGCCTTTCCCATCACGCAAATCATATACAGACAAGCACACCCTTTTTATCCAGAAATCATTAGCAGTCCCCTCCAGCTGCATGTTTTGCATGAGTGTAACATAATGACATTCTTGTATTACAAACTCAATTCTTATGGTTTGTATCTTACGGTGGTGAATTTCACAGTAATAAAAAGTGATTTAAATTTCAGACACTAGGTTCTTTTTCAAACAGAAGCAGTTGCTGGTGTATGGGTGGTTGGCTATGGAGAGGAATGGTGCTGCACGTATATTTTATAAGCACTTTTGTGTAATACATACTCTTACTAGAACATCGGCTATCCAAGCCCCGGTGGTTAAAATGTTAATGTCCGAAACACAAAAAGACGACTCCATATAAACGACGCACACCAAATTATATCATTACTACTGTACTTTTAAAAGTCTCAGTATAAGAAAATCTCTTATGTGTTTGCAATTTCATCAGCACACCTCTGCGTTACTAACAAAGTTTTGAATGACAGATTCAGTTATGTTCTGTGGTTGGTTGTACAGTTTACAACAATTAGAAGGTGTGGGAAATCGTGGTGCATGATAAATTTTCCAAAAGGCTGAATCGTTCAATGAATTAGTGTGCCATACAATGAACGGTAATTTTAAAATACCGTAGTTTTAAATCTAAGGGAATTTTGAATGGCTCGAACATTCTCTTTTAATAGGCTACATCGTTTTCCAAATATGACTAGGCATTTTTGTTTTCGAATTTAAGTTTCACGTTTCCAAAGCTAGATGGTGCTGTTTCGCACGTTAAATGAGAATGGTCGCAGGAAACTTCAACAAATGTGTCCTTGCCAAAACGATCGATCTATCTATCTATCTATCTATCTATCTATCTATCTATCTATCTATCTATCTATCTATCTATCTATGGGAATAAAGCGTTTAGTTACAAGTGTAAGAACTGCTAGAAGAAATGGTTGTGATTTAAATATTTTCTATGCATGGTTCACATACAATACATTTCTATTCGTAGTTCTAAAGTATAATTATACCTGCAAGTTTCATATAAAAATCTGAACCTTCATTATGTAGAACGTAGCAAAGTAAAAAATAAATAAAATTCATTTTAAAAGCAAGAAATGGAAATAACGAAATCAAAACCAATTGCTTATCCGTTAAAGTCTGATTATGATTTTTGTAAACAATACAAAAATTAGTTTACTATTAATGGGGGAAAAATACAAGCTGCACTGTTTTATGTATGTATGTATGTATGTATGTATGTATGTATGTATGTATCTATCTCTATCTATCTATCTATCTATCTATCTATCTATATAATCAAGCGTATATTTATTTAAATTTTAAAACCCTGTTTATTTGGTATTCATCCTACAGAATGTATTATACACAGCCTTAAATATACTTTCCTATAATATTAAGGGTAGGGTAGTAAATTCGGAAAATGTGATGACTTGCATCGTTTAAACCATCGGCTCCATTGAGTTACAGATTACGGATGAAATGCGAATTTAACACACACGCACGCACGAGAAGTAGACCCTAATATATATTTCACCGTTTTTTTTCGTTAATTAGAAATATACGTAGAACGATTTTATTTCTTGAATTCTTTTTTTTTTTTGTAAACGGCTGTCGATTTAATTACAGCTGAGACTAAGCATGCCAAACCATCAAAATTCATTTAAATATAATTGAAAATTTAACTGCATGTAAAACAAATCGAATGCAAAACTTGTTAGCAACAGCCAATTCACAATTTTACATTCGATCAGTAATGGATGTCATGATAGCCTGGCAATCTTTAAGTAATTGATAGGCGACAAAGCCGTGTGTCCTCTCTTCCTTGACCCAATACAGGACAATTTATAGCTGTCAAAGTCTATTACGGCAAAGTAGCTCTGAAAACATCTCAATCATATTGTCAATTATTATATATATATAATGTGTGTGTGTCGCGCGCGATATTTAATTTTCTCTTCAGCGTCATATAACAGTAAAATATCGTGCATATTAACAAATGTAACATTTTAATAGAACAAAATCATATACATGTTTTGATACACTGCCAACCTATTCAACGGGGGCGGTCAAAGAGGGAAGTACGCACATTACATTAGATTAAACTTAATAAAATGACCAAAGTGTAGTCAGAAAGCCATCGCGGAGTTTTAAAGCTTTTCACACAAAAAAAACGCCCCCCAAAAAAATCAGTTTTCTAAAACTGTTTACGAAAAAAAAAAATAATTAGTACAGAAAAACACAAGAATGACAAAAAACAATAACGCAACTAAATATTCAATAAACAATGCGAGTCTAGCGGACGTGTAAGCGCGTTGGTTCTGGAATTAATTAGCATACCAAAAAATCACTTGGAAAAAATATTTATTATCTGAAAATAGGACAGTAAAAATGCATACACGGTATTTTTTTCTTTAATAAAAGAGTTACATTCAATTCCTCCGACAAACGATTATTCCAAGAATTAGAATATGAAGAGAACTTCAAGGCAACGTCACCAGAAGAGATCCCGGTGTAGCAGATAAGGCAGGCCCGTTTGAATGGGATACAAATTACCCAAATATGAAGATAACTATATAACGGTATGGAAAACGTCGGGGATTCACTCTGCATTTGAGTATTTTAAAACCGTAATATCGATTGCCCATGTTTTGATCACTTCCCCCGAAATCTCAGTGGTGCGGGCAGTCCTTCTGAACTTTATAACGACATGTAAACAAGCTGTCAGTTCAGAAATAATCTTCTCAGCTTTTATCAGAAAGAAAATTCAATCTCCCCAAGTTAGATCAGGGAGGCAAGGTTTTTCTTTCCTTGTCGTTGGTGGTGCTGTAGTTTGGTGGACAATAATGTGGCAATTGTGGATGCTTTGTGACCCAGAAAATTTGAGGGTGGCTATTCTGGCTTTGGTATGTAATTATGCAAAACACTTTGTATAAAGACTTGCCATCCGATCTAATGATAGAGCCTACAGTCTAATTTCAAAAGGGAGTGGGCCTTCAGCATATACCCTCTTTGACGGAGGGAGGGAATGCAACACTCAAATAATTTCAAGGCGCATTGCAAATAAACATGCGACTCATTGTCTCAAAGTCACTGTGTTTCCCTCTCCCTCCCCTTCTTCAGTTTCTGTGTCCGTGTATACGCACATGCGTGTGTGTGTGTGTGTGTGTGTGTGTGTGTGTGCACGTGCACATGCTTACGCCAAGGACATAAATTTGTTCAAATAGATAGATAGATAGATAGATAGATAGATAGATAGATAGATAGATAGATAGATAGATAGATAGATAGATAAATTGTAGCTGAATCACACACAAAATTCATATTCCTTCATGCTGCTAGGGGAGCCTGAAGTGTATCAAATGTGTTTACTGACTGTGGACATCAGATCTTATGGACCAAATGCATTACATTTTATGCTGCTTCTTTGTTTCCATTTGTTGTTCCATTTTGTAATCACCAGGAAGCGAGAACTTTACATTTTAATTTTACTGTGCACTACTGTGAACCTGCC